TTTGCAGCCCCTCTGGGGACAGGGATCAAATAGCAAGTGGAGGTGGCATGTTGTGACTTTAGGACTCATTACAAAAGGAGCATGTGATCGATTCAGCTCCCGAGAAAGTCCAGCTTGTCGAAGTCTCCAGTAGAATTCGCATTCCTTCCCTTGGGGTGAGAGAGAGAGAGACAAAGAAGGCGGACATCCCGGCCCTTGAGGTTCCCTGGGAAGGACCGGAGGAAGCTCAGCCGCCCCTGCTTCCCTCCCTGACGGGAGCGAGGGCCGGGGCTGCACCGGGAGCCGCAGGTTTCACGTTTTCCTCCCCGGAGGCTCTTTAGGGACCCACATTCCCTGACAGGTTCTGCCTGACCGTGACTGCACCTCGCAGCGTGACGGTGCTGCTGCCTCGGCTCCGCCGACTCTCCGGGTCGCTCACCCCTGCCGAAGGACCGACAGTGTTATCGCTTCTCTATCACTTTGGGGCTCAAAATATTTTCTCTGTACCCCTCCTCACTCCAAGTGTGATGCTGAGATAATTTTACGTAGTTACTTTTCTGACAAGCCGTACGATTTTAATGGCAATCGCTCGGCACGTGCGGGCGCCGTGACAGCAAGCGGCGGCCCGCGAAAGGCCACGTCAACGAAACGTTTGACTTTCCCCTCCTGCTCCCGCGGTAACTGTCCTCCTGGCCCCTGGGACATGCGACAGACTTAAACTGGTGTAAAAAATTCCAGGGCTCACCTTTCCCCACCCCTTCTCCTCAGTACACAAGCCACACGCATCCGATACGCTCCCACATTTTCTCCCTGAGTTAGGAAGAAAAATAATCATACCACGGGAAGATCGTTTCTGTTCAGAAAGTTCTCAGCCCAACATAAGGACTCGGTGGCAGCCATGGCCGAGTGAGAGCTGGCTCAGGCGGGCAGCGGGCAGCTGCGATGACATATTTCACCCAGTCCTTGCTCGCGAACTGCCGGAAGTGTGTCTAACCCTCTGGTCGTGTGTGTCCCGCAGTCACGAAGGAGTGGCAGAGGAGAGGCGGGCAGCCCTGGCAGCTCATCGAGCCCGTCGATGGATTCCACCCCAATGAGGTACGCACAGTCACACAGTGGCTGCTGGAGACCGTTAGGTTGTTTTTAATATACTTATGCATTCGTATGTTTGTTTTTTTCCTGTTTGATTCTAGAAATAATTCGAGGTAATGTACACACAGGTCTTAGATAGAAGCGTCAATAAAAAGAAAGTGAAAATCCAAGTAGAAGGAAAACAAGATAGAAATGTTACCTGGCTTCTTGGTTTAATGCCTACAATTCATTCTCCTGGAACGTCTGCGGGGGCTTCTGAGAAACCGCCATCGAGAGCCCACAGCATCAGCTCTGTGCTTTCTAGGGGCTGACGAGGCATAAGTCATGGCCTCCATAAGAAAAAAATAAATCAACTACTGAAAAAAAATCACAGGAATCCCCAAAAGCGAGATCTGGGAAAAATCGCTTCTATGGATCCTTCTAGAAAAGATGCTGTATGAGAGGAGAGCAAGGGGAGCCGGAGGGCAGGACTCGGTCCCCTCCCTCCTCCGCCCTGTCTGTGATCCTGGCTGCAACCAGCGAAGGTCCACTTTTACCTGTTACACACGCTGGACCGGCTCACGTTCTCTCTCTACGAAAAAATAATGACAACAGATAAAAAGTAGGGGAGTGGTTCTGCCATTGAAAACATTTTTAAAGCTAGAAATGCTCCACAACTATAGTCTTTCTGACCCAGCCTTTGAAAAGCGGCAATGAGAAAGGTCCAAGCCTGAGACGCACTCCTGGCGTGTTCTCTTGGTGGCCTTGGTCTTGATGGTCGGCCAGGCCACAGGGAGGGCCGATCAGCCCCTCGGGAACCTGAATGGAACTGTAGCCCACCTTCCCCAAGCTCTCGGTT